GTGTACCATCAGAGAGCCAGCATTGCTAAGCGGGGTCGCCGGTGTGGGGACAGGGGTGGGACAGGCATCAACCTTTGAAGACAGGACCATGAGGGTTTGAAGGAGGAACCCAGAGGCGGGAGTGTTATCAGGATGAAGTTCCCAAACCGTGTTTCAGCCTGTTCCTCCCTCCTGGCTTCAGCTGCTCAGAAGCAGCCCCCCATGGTTATCATCCACCCAGCACACTTACAAGGAGCAAGTTATCCCCATCAACACGCCCAGTGTGCGGCTCACAAACTTCCTGCCCGCATCCTCCCCCGACCCCGTCACCGGACTCGGCAGCCCAGGCAGGACGCGGCTGGGAAGTTGTTCCGGAAGACTCTCCACCTCGAATCTACTTCATGCTACATGGGGAAAACAGTAGCTGGGAAGAGACCTGGGCTGTTTAAGCACCAGCAAAGTAAGACACTAGATCTAACCTAAGTAGCTGCCAGCAGGTGTATCCAGGCACTACACCTGGGCTTCAGATGCACGGAAAATGTCTAGAAGAAAATACAAGACACTGACAACAAGGCGGGGGGCGGGGGGGGGGAGGAGGAACTGGGAGAGAGAGGTTAGGATGGGAAAGAGACTGGCACTGTGACCCCTTGGCCTCCTGGATTGTTATAATGTGCACATACTTCTTTCATCGGTAGAAATAAATAAGAGCAGTAAACAAGAAGAATGAGCATTCTAGGAGCAGAATGGAAGCTGCTTGTTGAAGACTTCGGCTCAGAGAAACAGGTCATGGGCTGAGTCTCGGATGCCGGCACGGAGGTGAGGGCCTCACCCGCGTCAGTATCTACTGGAGCTGGGGACGCAAGAGGGAGACCTGGAATGAGGGAAATACACAAGCGATGGAGAAAACTCCTCAGGGCTGGTGAGGCCTCTCTGAGGAGTTAGCCTCCTGGATACCCGTGGAAGATGAGTTTGGCTGAAGGACGCGTGCTCCAGTCCTGAGAAGTTGCGGTGTCTTGAGAAAGAGGGGGCCAGGGCCGGGGCAGGCCAGACATTTGAGGCCATGGTAACCATTACTATGTTACTCTCAGGGTACCATAGAGCCACGGGAGGGTCTTATGCCTTTTCCACCTCACAAATGTGTCAGGGGAGAGAATACTAAGAAAGTTCCCAGACATATTTTGTTGAGTTTACAGAAGAATCTGTAATTTCATTTCATCTATCTCTCAACTCTTGGACTCAGAAATTAAAAAGAAAAAGAGTAAGTACACTTGATCATTTTTAAGGGTCCAGCATTTACACTGAAGTCAGATATATTATTTTATATATAAATATAAATATAATTCCCCAATATAAACTCACTCCCTTCAGAAATTTTTCTCATTCTTAAATCTGATTCACAAAATTTTTGAGTGAGCTTTTTCTGAGAAGATCTTAGTTTGGATTCCTTTTTTTCTTTTTTTTAAGCGGAACTATGTTTCTTAGGAAAGGTATTCCCCTGAGAATGTTTCAAATATATCTTCATTTCCCACAGAACATGTATCGAGTGCCTAAAAATTAACTTGCACTCATTCAAACCTCAGAAAGAGTCAGAATGCGTTTTCCTAAATCATTCTAACAGAGGTATCAATGATGTCAAAACCCTGAATTCTGAAACAGAACTTCTGTTCTTTTTCTAGCCTCATTATTAAAACAGATTTTTTTTAGGGTTTGTTCGTAACAGGATTGCCATTTTCCATGCTGCCTACCAATTATAAACAGAAGTAATTTTAAAGCCAAACTAGAGCTGTCTCTGAAATATTCAAGATGTATTGCCATCTGGTTTTATATCAGCATTTGAACAGGTCCAAAAATCAGTACATTACCAAGTATTATCAAAAATAGTTCATATCCCTTTCAAAGCACATACTCCTTTCAAAATACTTTCAAGTCACAAACTGAAAATTCACCTAATTTTTCAGACCATACCGGACACATGTATGTCAACCATAGTTACATATATAACTGATTTATCACAGATCACTCAGTAATGCTGACCAAAGCTAGTTTTATCAGTAGGTCTTCTAGAAACTACTAATTTGAAAAAACACAGCATACCTGATTACCTGGAAGCTTATAGGCAGTGAAGGGTAATCGTCTTTATTTGCAGTGGACACACTGTTTAAAATTTGAATCTTGCCAGTTCTGAGAAAAGAGGTGTCCCCAAAACCCACATATATCCATCACTCTCATTTCCAAACACAAAAGAGACCACAGCATTTCTTCAGAGGATGCTCAGCTAAAAATCAGCATCTACGATTCAAGAGAAAATGGCAGGTGAGGAGACAAAGATGAGTTTCTAACTGAACCAGCAGATGTGGCTCCAAGACACATCCCTGAGCAGGAGAGCTGCTGGAAGGACCATCCAACTGCCTCAAAAAAATTCAACTGTTTGCCAAATAAATGAGACCTTAGCCTGGGATCTCCACAAACCTTTAGATGAAATCTGTTTCTAAGAAATCTTTTCCCTCCACCTAACTAAAAAAAAAAAGCTTTTAAAAATCTCTCAGCTCATTCATTTAACAACCTTCAGTATTGATTCCATGCCAAAACGGACGTTCATCCTGCCCCCAGAGTTTACCATCCAGTAGTGGCAAGAAGACATGACAATAAAAACTCTTCATCATGATTATCACCTCCTGACATCACACATACACACACTCCAAAGACTTCTCTGTCATCTCAAAGGATCACTTCTAGTAATTCCAAAGCAATTCTTTTTAAAAATACTAATTGGTTCAACCTGACCATTTCACTGGATGGAGCAGGGGTTCACCAAGCCAGACTATTCCATTTTATCCCGCCTTTCTGCCAACCACTTCCTCGGAGAATAAGACTGGGGCACCTTCTGATACTGTTTAAAAAATATATTTATTGCTATTTCTGAAACGTACCATTTTCCTTTAAATATTAATTTAAACAACTTCAAAAGTCAGCTTCTATGGCTTAATCTCTATCGATTTTCTTTCCCTTCAAAACTATGAAAAGGATTGCACAAAAATCTGTCAAGATGTAAATGCTTTAAAAAAGATTTTAAATATTCCATATTGCAAATGCAATTAAGAAACTAAAGGGTAAAACCAACAACCCTAACAATAAAACCAGAGACCACCCCAAGGGCTTAAAATATGAAACACACACACACTAAAGCTACTGTATTGTTAAAATGGGAAAAAATATAGTTTATCTCTATATTAACTGAACCAAAGCAGTTGAAAGCAACTTGGGAACAAATTCAATGTACTATAGACAACAACATAGATCATAATATCATGCGTATACCAATGCCAACATTTTATAGGCAAGAAATTAGAGGAGTTAAATTATTTGCTTGCTTTAAAAAGGGGGTGAAATCATTTTGAAAAGAAAAGGACCCCCTTCGACAAAGCAATATTCTTAGTCCACAAGCATTATGCGACAGTCTTTTCCTATTAAATGGAACAAAATTGTCAAGATAACCCAACTGATCAGGCATAACCAAAATTTTCCTAATTTTTCCTTATTATGAGATTAAGTAAATCAAATGTAGAATTCTTCTCCCAAAGGAAAAACTTACTCAGTATTTCTTCACATTCAGGTCCTCATTCAAACGCCCACATTATAAAGTCGTAACAGCTCTATCAGACATACAGACGTGTCTGAGTAACTATTATTCTGTTTGTAAATCACCTCCCTTCACGACATTCCTTTCTTTACATATGTAAATTAGCGTGTCAGATTCGGAGCCCACCACCAGCCACCGCGACCAAATTATCCTCCAGGGACATCAATCGGGCTTGTTATCCTTGTTTCAGCATAAAAAGAAGAGGAGAGAGGAAGGAGTAGCTATTTTCAGGAATCAGAATTCTACTTGATTAGATTTCAATGTTTCTACCCTGAAATGCATTATCCTTGGCTTCTAAATGTGTGGCTTTTCTTAAAAACGCCAAGACACGGTACAGTGTTTCCAATATAAATTGCTTCAAGGAATATATGCCTAGTTTTGCAGGGAGCATTTGGCCAAATTCTAATAATTCCTCTTGGGAGCCAACACCAACTTCCATCAGCAGCTGTAACTGCACAGAGCAGAATTTTAAAGACACAGAGGGCAGTATCTTCCAGCGGACATAGCCCTTTCTTCTCCTACTCAGTGGGTTGCCACATGAGCCACCTTATATGATATTCATCCCTTAGAATATAGATCTTTCTGTTAAGGTCATAAATTAATCATGAAATGCACAAAGTACATTCTTTTCCCCAGCATAAAGAAAGAAAAAGCACTGTGGTTTCTAGCAAGGTTGAGCTGACGCTGAATGTCATTACTTAAGCTTGTGAATCACTGCACGATTAATAAGAATAAACAGCATCCACATTTCTATAGGCTGCCCATGTTAGCTGAGAAAACACATGTCCTGGTGCTTCCTACCATGGAAACAGGACTATCCATCAGCGGAAAGTGTTCCGTTGTCTTAGTTCTTCTTGATTATAATAAATATTTTTATTTCCGTGGCCACTGAAAACTTGAGAGAGGACCCTCCCATTTTTCTTTCATTAGAATGTGCAGATGATTTTATTCTAAACCTTTCACAGATATAGTCGGGAGGAAAGGAGAGACTACAATACTGCACTCATCTGGTTGCATTAAGCTCAAAATATAAATCTCAAGGATGCATGTCTGTCACATGTCAGCCCTGGCTGAAGGCATCCACCAGGAGAATATTTTCACTATTCAGCTGGCAGCTAGAATCTACTTCCACAAACCCGCATACTGATGAGAGCCAAGGCTCTCAGTCCTGTTCTCTGTTTCTTCTTCTTAGCCACTTCTCCCCTCTGCAGAGGAGAGAAGCCATCTTACTAATTTATAAGTACCCTGACTCTGCAACCATTGAAAAAAATTTCCTCATCAGTAACAGGCAACTAAAAGCAAAAGCGCATCCCACAGGAGTCAGAGAATAAAACGGGCAACATCAGCACATACATCGATCAGCAAGACTCCAGATACTCACTGAAGGCAGCCACCGCCAGGGCCAGTGTGACAATAATGGAGAACCAGGAGACCCACAATGCCTTCTTTCTGTAGTTCTGGGCTTCGTGAGGTTTTAGTCGAGTGCTGCTTTCTAGTAAGCCTGACAAATACAAGGAGAAAAGGAAGTTAGACATTTCCTTCTTAAGAAACCCACAGCCAGAGCTACACTTTCTTATTCCAAGGATTGCAAACTGACAGCCCGCAGGCCAAGACATATTTTTTTTTCCTGAAATATAGCTGATTTATAATATCATGTTAGTTTCAGGTATACAACAAAGTGAGTCAGTTATCCAAGATGCATTTTGACATTCACGAGAGTCACGTGGAAATCAGGCTTTCTGGCTCCCGCAGGTTAATGGCAGCTGTCCTCTTTTTAAGGAACCTGTGACCATACCACTCCCTGACCTCATGTATGACACCCGCCATCCCCCTGCCCTTGTGTTAATCTGAGTGGTTCACTGGCTCACATAGGCACTGTTCCTTCTAACAAGGCCCTTTCGTTAGGAAAATAGCACGAATAGTCCACATTGGGCTGGGCACTGGGGGTCCTCAGCCTTGGCACTGATTTGCATAGATCCACCAGCATGGTCCTAAGGGTGGACTGGGTTTTGCTCAAAGCAATGAGTCATGGAATACAAATGCCCTCCTTGTTCCCTTAGACAATTAGCAGGAGGAAGATATGGACCATTTCTCTTTAAACACAACCAACAGCCATCAGACCTAAAGAATATGCCATGTTTTCTGCCCACCTCTTTCTTCTTTACAGCATCTATTCCTTTGTACAAAGCATATGTCAAAAAATTCTCAGAATATTAAAGCGAGGCAAATCTGCTACAACTGGGAGTAGCTAGATTCCCGGGTGGACCATGTGTAAGAAAAGGTTGACTGTGTCTCCTATGCTTTCAAAGTTAAGAGTCCTCAACCACAGAAATTCATGACGACTCTGAATCAATGCCCAAGCTTCTACAGCTTTGGGTTGAAGACTGAAACATCTTCCATATGATCTTGATTTACATACTTTTCTATGAAAATAGATCATATACAGCATCTCCTAGTCACATAGAGAACCAAATTCTTAGTCCAACATTTAACATAAACAGGAGCCTATGACACCATCTCTGGCCAAACAACCCATAATAGACCTTTCAGAGGTGCAGCAGCCTCATCACAACGGCTCCAAACAATGAAGAAATTGGTAGTCAGAGCTCAAGCACCCATTTGTAAAATACTGTACAGCGTGCAACATTATCACGCCTACACAGTGTATAAAAGACATCTTCCCTCTAAACTGACTGCGCCCCACAGTAAGCCTCTGGTTGCCAAAAAACTGTGTCCTGTTCAAAAATTTTAACAAGGACCCTGTTAAAACTTCCCAGTTGCATTTACTACCCAGACCCAAGAAAGGCCAATATAAACACCTTCTCCATCCTCACTGTAAAAATCTCCCCAAACGTTCCTTAGTAAGTGCACATGGATGGAAAAGAGAAAAACCTCTTATGAAGTCCTGCCCTAGATACAAGTGATTTCAAATTATCCTTTTGTCTACTTCTTTTTATTCTTTTGTCTATTTCCTGAGCTGCTAAAAAACACCCCATTGTAATTTTCAACTACAGTCATTCCTGACTCCAGTTAGAGCCATAACCCAGAATAAGCAGATGCCACTGACTCCCAGTAATTTATTTCCCTTTCCCCAAATGATATAAAAATCTTTCTTTCATCCTGGCCAGTTGATTTGCAGGAGAGGTGAAGCTGTAACATTTAAGTACTGACACAAAGAAGCAGTTTATTTGCTGGGTTTTTTTGACAGCAACCATCTCAGAGAGGGTATCCACTGGGGGGTAAAAACAAGGTTCCTTCTAGAAATAGATTTAATTTTCTAAGAGAAACAGCAATGATCCAGGTTTTCAATCCCACCACATGACATTTATTTTTCCTTCTAAAGCCAGCTGTTTCCAACAATATGCCTGGACCTGACCACACAGACCAACCAACATGCCTCACCACCCCACCCACCCCACCCCCCGCCATGGGCCAGCACTCCCCGGGAGGAATTCGAGATGCCAGCTCACGTGGGCTGGACTGCCTGGGTAAGGTAGCACTTGAATCCTCTAAACAGCAGAACTGATGGTCTTTCCCTAGACCTGATCCTGTATGTGCCTCCCTATGAGAAGTTTCAAACTTTAAAAATAGGAATAAATGTAATGAGAAGACCATTCAAGAAGGGAGGAAACTTCCCTATTTCTATCTAACCTTTGCTTTTTTCCTACTAGTTTTCCTTCCTAAAAATATAGCCGATACCAAGAATGGAAAACTCCCCACTCTTCAAAGGGAAGTGGAGTATAATGATCTATGAAGACCCAGCTCATAAACGATCTGCACACAGGCACCTCGACTTCTGCCTGTGTTAACTGCACACACACACGAGCAAGCCATAGAGATGTGATGAGAATTTCGAAAGTTTTCAGGAAGCTGTGCTTCAGAAGCAGAAGAAAGTCAGCACAGCCTAGAGAAGCCAAGGCAGGCCTCAGATTTCCACACAGGGCTGGATCCTTGCTACCCACAGCTGGCCTGCACATTCAAATTTTTAATCCCACTCAAATTTCAGATATGTGTAATTTGGGCCTAGTTAGAGTAAGTGTAAGGGTTGTATTAATGAAGGACTGATACCTTATTACTGGGGTGGAAGAGATACAAATACATGCAGGGAGGTTGAAGACAATAGTCATTTCCATGCTAGTATGAATTAGTTCCAATTGCTTTCCCCTAAGGGCTAGTCACGCTTGGATTCTCTGAAGGAGAATATTCATTAGATGGGAAGGAAGTAGGAAATGCTGAAGCATAAAACACCCTAAGGCCCTAAGACTTGGGGCAGAATGATGGGAAAACACTTGTGGAGAGAAGAGTGGGTATTACAAAGGAGGTGGTGGACATGCATAAGACAACCTTGGCCTATTTTTCGTTTCTTTAGTCCCTGAAAGTCCTGGACCACAGAGTTCTTGCTCCTAGAACTACAAGGCTCAGCCAAGTGGCACTGTAGTTACTGACAATATGAGCTAACTAAGTTTCTGGGAACCAGCCCACATCACTTCTAAAGGAAAAATACGTCTAAAGTCCTCAAGCACTAGATTATAAAGAGAAACTCTGAAGTCAGATGGAGCCTGTAACAGGGTCCTGATAGCTCAGAAGGAATTTAGGGCAAGAGAGAAGGCCAAATATAGGTACAAATCCAGGTGCTTCCCCCCACCCCACCCCCCACACCATAGAGACAGTATTTAGGACTAGAAGCTAGCAAGCCAGGCGGGATATAGAGATTCACAGAGGACAACTACAGAGGTTTCCTCCTCCTCGAATCCTCTCACCATGAGGAAAAAGGTAGCTGCCATCGAACCGTTCCTGGGGGATACAAAAATCAATATTGGAAAGATGCGGCCTGCCCCATAAGAAAAAATACCACAAACATAAGATATTATAATAAACCTCTCTCGGGAAGCTTCTGATTTATTTAATAAAAATTACTCAGTCATCATTAACTCTTTGCTGCCAGGAATGGAGTCAAACAGAAGCATTCAATGCTACAAGGCTCTGGGTTCTTTGGGAGACAGGGTTCATCTTAACAGAGAAGCAAGTGTGTGATACGCAACGCTTTCACACAGTAACAGCTTATGAACAGTGAATGCTTTCATGCTATAACATAATGGAAAATGCAATTCAGTTGGCCAGTGAAAAAGAACCCTAAGAAGGAATTCAGAAGGGCTTTTTACACTTGAGCGTGAGCTGCAAAATGACACTAAATATTAACTCGCCCTAGCACTTTTTTCCCTCCTATCATTTTGTGAGGTGGGGAGAAACAGGACAGCTTTAACAGCTGACCTGCAATGCTACAAGAATAAGCTCGGCCCGGAGTTCTTTCTTCCATACAAAAATTTTAAATCCTACATTAGTTGCAGAGTGTAAGGTAATTATTGCGACCTACAGTAAAACTGATAGGTTTTGCTGGGTGCTTGTGATGTTACCAATCATCAGCTCTGAAGTGATAATCGAGTTGTGTGAGACTAGGAGGAGAAATTGCAACATAGGTGAAGAACTCGTTGCAGCTGGAGCGGCTCCAGTTCTCGCCCGAGCATCCCCGCCGATTCTCTGGGAATTGCCGTTTCCATGTCATTTCTGTTTCACATGCTACAGTTTAAAATTTCTAAAAGGAAAGAAATCGTGCATCCGAACACTAAAACCGGAATAAAAATGTACAGGAGATACCAAGAATAGGAAAGAAAACCTGCTAAGACTAAAATATAAAAACCCGCCACAGCCAACAAAATAAGGCTTCCAAGAACAGGGGGTGGAGGTGGCGATGAGCCGGCTCTCCCTGTAGGGCCTGGCTGTAAGAATCCCGTTTTCGGCCACTAATCGGTTTTAGCATAACCACTGAGTCTTTTTGAGGGGGCCGATTTGGATTTCGATTCAGCAAAAAGCAGAAAATGTACAGACGTGGCTAAGAACTGGGCTCTCTCCGAGCCCAAAGGAAACGTGGGAGGGGGGAAAAGAGAGATGGAGGAGAGATACACAGGAATGAACAGGGTAGTCTCTCCTGCCCCATGTGGGCAACTCAAAGGGGGCAAGGGCTGTCCGTCGGAAGGTCGGGTTTGGTCTCCCAGGAAAGAGAGGTTTGTGGGGTTCCAGGCCAGTGTCTTGAGAGGGATTCTGAAGGGACTGGGGATGCACGACACGGGAACCACCAGGTTCCAGTGGCATCCATCCAAATGAGCTTGGTGGACCGAACCCAAGCGTCCCAGTCCTCTGCACCCCACCCTTACCAGACAGTGGGGCCGTGACCCACGGTAAACTAGGTGAATGAGGTCCGGGGGTCCCCGACTCCCCTTCCCCGGGGACGTCGCCGAGAGACTCCTCGAGGCTAAATCCGCAGAGGGAAGTTCTCCTGGGGAGCCGGCGGGGTTCAGAGAGGGCTCGGGAAGGAGGATGCACCGAGCTTAGGACCCTCCCCAACTAAGCGGGGCCCGGAGTCCCCTGGGAGCGCTCGACTCCAAAAGGAAAAGAAACGAAACACACACACACACACACACACACAACGCCTCCCGC